AGCTTCTTGGGAGGGGTTATCTTTGAGCTATCTCAGGTTCTTTCTCTAGGGACCAACTTGAGGTAGATGAGAAAGTAATGGGGGTCTCCTTCCATTAGCTAGCTGTTCCTGAGCAGTTTACTTAGCACTTCAACAAGCCAGTCTGTTGCTCTTTGGAGGTCAAAGTCTTCAGTCTCATAGCTCTTTGATTTCTTAGTGACCCCAAAGCTCCTTGTAGGAAAAAGGGGCTAGCTAAAGAAACCAACCCTGACCCTGGAGCCCAGAACCAGAGAAAGAAACGCAGCCTAGATCTGGGACCCGAGCCAGAGAAAGAAACACTTTATTCTTGAACCCAGAACCAAAGAAACATGCCCTTACTCTGAAACCACTGCCAAAGGAACCCATTTTGTCCCTGGAATCAGAGCCAGTGAAAGAAATAGGCCCTGGCCTTAGAATTAGAGCCAAAAAGCTAAGAAAGGCCAGTGAAAGAAACACAGTTTGGCTCTGAAATCAGGGCCATCTCTGCCCCTGACCAACAAAACTAACCAATCCCTGAGCAGAAAATCTTCTCTCTCCCTGGAGAAACTCCACCCATAAGAAATCCTATATAAGCCGGGGGGGTGGTGGCGTGCCTTTAATCCCAGCACTTGGGAGGCAGAGGCCAGTCTGTGAGTTCGAGGCCAGTCTGGTCTGCAGAGTGAGTTCCAGGACAGGCACCAAAGCTACACAGAGAAACCCTGTCTCGAAAAACAAAAACAAAATTGTATATAAACCGCCCACCTGTTCAGGTGTGGGCTGTTCTTTCCCACCTTGGCAGAGACAGCCACTCTCCTGGACTCCCCCTTCCCAAGTAAATCTCTTTATCAAAAGAGTCTTGGATGCGAAGATCTTTATTCGCTGGTGCAGAACAGAAGGACCTTGCTGAGACATCCCTTTCACTGGAGTTGGAAGAGATTGCTACATTTCTGCAGGGGTTTCGCCTTAAGCAGAATGAAGCAAAAGAAGCAACATCTTAGGCCGGAGAAGCGGAGCTCTGCTGGGAAGCCCCCTTAAGTGGGGGCTGAGCAAAGCTCAGCTGTAGCAGCTCTCCAGGAGAGGAGCAGGATTGCTATACCCTTCGGGGAGACCATCCCCCACCACACCCCAACTCCAGGTATTGCCTGACTCTTTGGAGCAGTCAGGACACCTTTCCCTCCAGAGCTGAGCTGCCCCCTTGCAGCTCCAGCTGCCAGAGCTGTCCTAGCAGCTCAAGGTGTCACCTGACTTCCCTGAGCAGTCAGGATACCTTTCCCCCAGAGTTGCAACACTCGCTTACATCCCTTTGTCACATAAAAAGATTGTTCAGAAGACAAGGAGAAGACTTCCTAGGGTTTTACTACTTGAAAGACATCTCTTTCACATTTATCTACCTATCTATCTATCTGTCTGTCTGTCTATCTATTTATATTTTTTCAGAGACAAAGTTTTTCTGTGTAATAGTCCCAGCTGCCCTGGATCTCACTCCGTAGACCAGGCTGGCCTCATACAGAGATCCGCCTACCTCTGCCTCCCAAGTGTGCCACCACTGTCTGGCCTCTTTTGCATTTATTTACGGTGTGTGTGTGTGTGTGTGTGTGTGTGTGTGTGTGTGTGTGTGTGTGTGTGTGTGTGTCACATGCACTATGGGTGCTTGGAGGTCAGAGGACAATTTGCAGGCGTCAGTTTTGTCCTTCCGCCTTGTGGGGTCCAGGGCTTGAACTCGGGTCATCAGGTCATGGTGGCAAGTTCTCTTACTTGTTGAGCTTGCTCAGTGGGCTGCAGTTCTGTGTATTTGAAGGATTTGTTAAGTTGTTTAACTCAGCTAGGTAAACATGCCAGGCATGGTGGCACACACCTTTAATCCCAGCACTCAGGAGGCCGAGGCACATGGATCTCTGAGTTCTAGGCCAGCCTGATCTACAGAGTGAGTTCCAGCACAGCCAGGGCTACACAGAGAAACCCTGTCTCAAAAAATGAAACCAACCTACCAACCAATCAACCAACCAACCAAACATACAAAAAACAAATCCCAAAAAAACCCCAGCCAAAGCCTGGCTTGTGTAGCGTGCATGTAACCCCAGCACCTGGGAGGGTGAGGCCAGAAGATCTTCAGTTCAAAGCCAGCCTGGACTATTTAGGTTAGACCTGTCCGTTAGTAGTCCTAATGCCATGCTTGATTTTAGCTGCCTTGGTTTCTTAGCTCCCAGTCACTGCTGGTCTACCTGGTTCTTGTCATAGCCCATGCTAACCCATGTTTCCATCCTGCTCAGGCTGGGCCAGGACATATCAGCTATTTCCAAAATCTGCTTACCCTTTTCCCTCCCTCCTGCTCAGTCTTCTCTTCCCCTCAGCCCACGGCTTTCTCCTAAATAGTCAGCAAGGAAGCCAGGCATGATAGCACACACATATAAGCCCTCGGGCTGAGGCAGAAGGAGTTTGAGTTTGAGGCCAACTGGGCTACACAGTGAGACCCCCCCCCCCCCAAATATTACCAAGAAACCACCTAGAAGTGTCTACTGACCGGCTTCACTAAAATGTTTATACTTCTTGGCTTCCGAACCCTTTATTCGTCTCATATAGATTCTCTACTGCCCTCAGCACAGCAGCCAGTCCTCAGCTCCTGGGATCTGCGTTCCTCCTTCCCAAGAAATCAGGGGCTGGCACCCCACATAGTTTCCTCCGTCTGCTCCTTCTCACTTCAAAGTCCTAGATTTGGCTGGCTTCGTACATCCGCCCATCACATCATTTCTGTCTCTGAGGATGTTGAATTCCTCATTATTGGAGGTTCACATCTCCTGCTGCCTAAACTACTTCAGTAGCTCCCTCTAAAATTCCTTTTACTCGCTTATTCTTATTGTATATGTGTGTGTGGTGTGTGTAGGCACATGTGGAGGTCAGAGGATGACTGTGGAGTTGGCTCCCTCCTCCTGACTTTCGCAGGTTTCAGGGCTCGAACTCGGGTCCTTAGGCTTGCAGACCGAGTGTTGAATAGCCCAGGAAGTCTGGGACTCTCTGGCCTTGGACTTGCCCTTTTCTTGCACTAGCCTCCGGAGTGCTGGGATTATAGGTTCACAGCACCATGTCCAGCTTTGTTTCTTTTTAGAAAAAATAATGTTTAATGAAATATAATTCATACATAACCCATTGAGTTCAAAAGTCAATTCATTGGTTTTAGTGTACTCATAGAGTTGTATAACCATTGTCATGGTTAATTTTTGAACATTTTATTGCCCCTTGAAAGAATACCCGTAGTCTCCATCCTCAGCTCCTTCATCTGCCTGAACTCTAGGCAACCAGTTAATCTACTTTCCGTCTCTAAGGGTTTTTCCTTTGTGGACATTTCATATAAATAGAATCATATAATATGCAGTATTTTGTAAGTGGCGTCTTTTTGCTAAGCACATTTTCAGGGTCATCCTTATTGTATTTCAGTGGCTCCCATTTGCTCTTAGGTTTTGTTTGTTTTGTTTTAGAGACAAATTCTCAGGATGGCCTGGAACTCACCATGTAGACTGGGCTGGCTTTGAACTAACAGCAAGCCTCTCTTGCCTCTGTTTTCTGAGTACTGGGTTTGTGGGCATGGGCTCCTATGCCCAGCTTCGTTTTCGTGATATTGTTTATTTTCCTGTTTCGAGACAGTCTTACTTTGTATCCCTGGCTGGCCTGGAACTTGCTATGTAGACCAGGCTGGCCTGGAACTCACAGAGATTGGCCTGCCTCTGCCTCCTGAGGCAGGCAGGATTAAAGGTGTGTGCCACCACACCAGGAGTTAATGATTCTGGAGCTGGGAGCCGAAGAGCATGGCAGCATCTGATTGGCTTCTGTGAGGACCTTTGCTCTGTTCCAGCTCAGGACAGAAAGCAGAAGGCAAGTGGGTGCCTGGGGAAGAGGCAGTGAGGAGTAGCCTCACATTCTAACAACTGACTCCTCGTTTGTGAAAGGCGCAAACAATCCTTCCCAGTGACTTAATGAATAACCTTTCTTAATGCTCAAAGACCCCACCATCTCCTGATGCCATTAAGATTTTTTTTTTTTCTAAGAAGGGTCTTGTTCCGTAGGCTGGCTTTGGGTTTGTCGTCCTCATCCTCTTTCCTGACCGCTAGGATTGTGATAGGTGGATGCCTCCGCCCCCCTCCCCCCAACAGCATTTCTATTCCTGCATTGGAAGGTTTTTCTGAGGTGGAGACCACATCAGTGATCGTATTCTGAGCATAGAACAGTGGGAGTTCTAGAAACAATTGTTGAATTGACTACCTAGAAGAGAATGGTTCTCTCCCCCGTTATTTCCATAGTCAGCAGGCTCGGTGACCGTCTTCACATTCTTTTCCTTTTTCTTTCTTCCATAGCCACACAGGCCGTTTTTCAGCACTAAGCAAGAAGTCCCGCCTCTCTCTTTGCCCTTGCAGGTGGCCCTGGGCAGCACATTCCATCCTCAAGCCAGTACTGCTGACCCCAGTGGCTGGCTGTGGCATACAAAAAGCGTCCTCTGGCCAGGGCTGTGGGTCAGCACGTGGGAGGTGGAATTTTGGGGCAGGAGTAGCAGATGGTCATCCAAGGGGTGGGCAGGGGACAAAGTACAGATCTCCGACAAGTGGTCCTGGGAGAAATGACTGAAATGGCTGCAGCCTCCCAAGTCAGAGAAGCGGCGAGGTTCTGAGTTAGATTGCTTACAGCACGGGCAGTCCCAGGGTAACCCGTCCCTAGATCCTGGGGGAGCTTTCTGGGTAAAATGTCAGTACCTAGCATCGTGTGCCCAGGGCAGGGCAGTCACCTCCTTCACAAGGTGTTTTCTCTCAGGACGTCTGCCAGGACAGTGTGCAGGTACTCAGGGAACTCCGATGTGTGCCTCTTTGCCCTGGTGTAGTTGCCTTTTGTGCGTACTGAAGTCACCAGGTATCCACTTAGTGATGGGGTGTGTGTGTGTGTGTGTGTGTGTGTGTGTGTGTGTGTGTGCGCGTGCATGCGCACGCTATTAGAAGGGCTTACAGACTCTGTCTTTCCAGGCTCATCTTGCAGAGGGAGAAGCACTTCCATTATCTGAAAAGAGGCCTTCGACAACTGACCGATGCCTACGAGGTAAAAGTGTTGCTGGGGACCTTCCTGTCGAGCACTGGGCATTCTCCTCTCTGAGCACAGAGGCCGTTGGTCTCACCTGTTGCAGATGCACCCATCGCATCACGTGGCTCTGGCCGGAACCAAGCTGCTGTTTCAGAGCGGGGACTCTGCTCATGAAAGGGCTGAATAAAGTCCCCTCCCTCCTGGTTGGTCTGCAGAGCTGGTGGGACAGCCTAGCTGGGCTGGGGGTCTCCATCATTTGACCACAACGTGCTTTCTGCTGACTCCCTTTACATCTTGATCAAGTCAGTCACCCTGTCGTCCCCACACCTTGACCCTGTAAAGCTGATCCAGTCTGTCTTGGCCAGAGGACCAGTACTTGGATCCTAGAGGACACTAGACACAGAGTGAATCTTAAAGCATGGTACTAAGAGCCGTGAGATTCATGGAAGAACCCCAGAACTGTGGTGGGGGTAGGAAAGGCTGTGACCAACACAAAGGGAAGCTCTGCCTTTAATTGGCTTTTATTTCAGAGTTCTGTATTTGATTTTTTGTGGAAGGGTTTTCCAAGTCTCAAAGGCAACCTGAGTAACACGGCCTACACCCCAACTCTGACATTTACTTCCTTTATAATCTGGAAAAAAACTGGTCTCCCTAGACCTCCTTTACTTTAAGTTGAACTGGTGGCTGGTACCACCACCTGCCCTGTCCAAGTGTCTGACTTGAAGTAGGATCGAGGTCTGTCCACACATCACCTCCAGAAGCCTTTGCCCAGTTTCCATCCACCCTCCTCCCCCTCCTCCCCTCCTCCTCCCCCTCCTCCCCCTCCTCCTTCTCCTCCTCCCCCTCCCCCTCCTCCCCCTCCTCCAGGTCTCAGTGCTATTTGTGCTCACGGCAGGCAGCACTTAACAGGTGTGTGTATGTAGGTTTGCCTTGTTCCAGAAAGACATGGGGCACCTTAGGCTCAGCGTCTACAGCCTCTTTCTCTAAGACAGTCGCTCCGATAGTCTACGTGCTGAGCACCCCAAGACACAGAACCAGTTTCCGTTATTACCAGGCCCCAATGTCTATAGTGCTTGATACAAGTAGATACCAAGTATTTGCTGAATCTGTAAATGAGTGAATTCAAGAAGATGGTGTGTTTCCTGGGAAAACAGCAGCATTTAACTTCCCTGTGTATAAGTTTTCACTCAGACTTGCTTGGCCACCTGCAGGGAAGGGACCTGTTGGGTTCAAGGCTTGTTTTCTATTATCCTTTTGTCACAGAGGGACATTTCATCTCCTGGTTAAGGCCACAAAGCAAAACATCCTTCATTTACTGATTGTTGTCCGAGCAAGGGTACCTCCTCCCCTTGCTCGCCGTAGGGACTGAGACAGATAAAGCCTTGTCCACAGGATCTTGGAGTGACTGAATAAAGGGTGTGTTTTCTCCTCGTTCTTCTTCTCAGTGTCTGGACGCCAGCCGCCCCTGGCTCTGCTACTGGATCCTGCACAGTTGGGAGCTCCTGGACGAACCCATCCCCCAAGTAGTGGCTGCAGAGTGAGTCCGGCTTTGGGGGCCCTGGGGTGTTCTCTGGAATGACATCTTGGATTTGAAATTCCTTCTGTCCCCATTTATTAGCTGTAAATGGGGAGGAAAGAGTGTTACAAAGAAACCTTTGCCCTTCCCTTGACCTCCAGCAACTTCCAGAAACTCCTCCACTCCGAAGCCTAGCGTTAGCTGGTGGGTGGAACAACTCTTTGAACTCCAGAGGAGTTTTGTTTTTTTCTGTGGCCTTTTCTCTCTCTCTCTTTCTTTTCCTCCTCCTCCTCCTCCTTTTTTTTTTTTTTTTAAAGAAAGTGTCTCTGTGTAGCCCTGGCTGTCTTAGAACTTGCTATGTAGACCCAGCTGGCCTCGAACTCACAGTGGTCTACCTGCCTTCCTTAAACACCTCCATGGAGGTGTGGAGGTGTATTGCCCGGGGACAGACCAGCTCTCCCCAGGACTAGAGGGTCACTGCCTTGGTGCACCAATGGCATGACTCACAGTTCCCGTAGACCTCCGACTGATGACTGGACTTGTAAGCAACTTAGATGTGTCCCAAGCTGCTGGTGCAGATGGCAGGGTGAGGTGGCGCCTCATGTTCATCACAATCCTATATTAAGGGGAAACCAAACCAAACCAAACCTCATCATGTCTCCAGCCTTGGGAATACCCGAGACAGGAAGGCACAGCCAGGAGCTGCGCCCGAGGGGTTTACTGAGAGTGCGTCTTTTTGGCTTGTGCGCCTCCACTCCCTTGTACTCCCAAAGGTGAGGAGTTTGGGACGCAAGGATCCCAAGCCAGGTTTGCTGTTCCACAGCAGAAGATGGCAGCTGAGCCAAGGCTGGTGGAGGCTTGCTAAAGTTCTCCCTAGTCCCAGAGCCCCTGCCTCGGTCACATTGTCAGGTCAGAAGAACAGAACTTACATTGTCTCATTCATTCTCTTTCACAATAATCTCTCATTCTTGCCTTCCTGGGAAGGGTGTCTTGTGATGAATGTCGACGGAGAAGATAATAAAGAATTAAGCCATTAACCCCTAGAATCCATGTTTCTGAGGCAGAGGGAAAATATGCATTGTTTTTTTTTTTTTTAAATCCAAACATTGCAACAAGCCTGCTTGCTTCCAGCCCTGGAAGTGGAGTTGGACAGAGTTTCTGCAGTAACAGGAGTTTAATGAAGGCTCCTGTGTTTTTGAAATACCAGTTGGGGGTTGAGAGTTGTTTGGGAAGCCCCCCACCCAACACCCACACTGTCAGGATGCTAGACTAGGAAAGATGCGTATGAGACAAGGGAGGGGGATGGAGGATTCGGTGAGAGATGCATGGAGCCTGAGAGAAGGCGGCACAGAGCGTGTGACGTGTACAGACAAGACAGGGCCCCTGCAGTGCAGAGCTCAGGTCACTGGCAGCTTTTTTGTAGGTTGTATAAATGGTCTTTTTTTCAGTGTGGCTTATCTGAGGACGTCAGTGTCACAGCTGCTTTTGTGGCAATACCAGATAGGAAGAGAGGGCCATGTGAGATGGTTCAACAGTCACCTGCTTTGATGTGTCGTGACCTGGGACACACATGGTGGAAGGAGAGAACCGGATGGGAAGAGGGGCCCCTTTAAAGGGTCTTTCATAGTGGACAACATCAGTAGTGCAGAGCTTGCCTGGCATGGTGGAGGCCTGGGTTTGATCCCCTACAGTGCCCACCTACCCCCACACCAAAGGGGGAAAAAAAACAAACAAAAAATGTTATGATTATGCATAGAAAAACAAAACAAAACAAAACACCACAGAAAGTTACGTGTGCATATGCTGCAGTTCAGTCTGGATAGTGAGATTGAAAATGATTGTAATTTTTGAGCTGGGCATGGTGGTGCACCCCTTTAACTCCAGCACTCCGGAGGCAGAGGCAGAGGCAGGTGGATATCTTTGAGTTCCAGGCCAGCCTAGTCTACATAGTGAAGTCTGGGACAGCCAGAGTTACATAGTGAGACCCTGCCTCAAAAACCAAAACAAACAAACAAACAAAAACACCCCCAAAACAAAAAAGGGATTACATTTTTTCATCTCTAAGCTTATTTGCATTTTCTACAGTATATCTTTATTTTTTTATAATTGAAGGAATGTTTTAGCCATGCTTGTTTTTAATACCAGCACCTGGGGAGGCAGAGGCAGACAGATCGCTGTGAATCTTGTAACCAGCCTGGACTATACAGGGAGTTTCAGGCTAGTTAGGGCTACACAGTGAGACCCTGTCGTCCCCTCTCTCACAAAAAATGGATATTTTGAAAATAGCCAATTTGTCCCAATAATTAATGGTCAAGAGTTTGCTTTAGAACTGCCTTGAAAGCATTTATGCATGGCTCTTTTGAGCATTGATTTAATAAACTTTATTTTTATTTTTTAATTTATTTCCAGTTTTAGAGACAGGTCTTACTTTGTAGACAGAAACTCACTATGTAGGCCAGGCTGACCTCAAACTCATGGTAACCTCCTGCTTCAATCTCTGAGTGCTGGATTTCAGGTAAAAGCCACCCCAGCCGTCTTGCTTTAATGAACTTTAAAGTCCAGTTTTAGGGAGTGAATCTAGGACCTTGTGCATGCTGGTAAGTGTCCTGTCATTAGGCTGTGTCCCCTAGCTTGACTTAGTGAGTGAGTGTGTGTGTGTGTACAGGTCTCATGCTTGCAGAGCAAGTCTCTTACCCCTGAGCCATCTCTCCAGCTCATATATTTTTATTTTGTTATTTTTAGTGTGTGTGTGTTGTATGGTGTGTATATGAGAGTGTAGATCTCTGGTGTAGGCATACCTGCACCATGGTGCATGTGTGGAGGTCAGAAGACAGCTTTTGGCAGTCGGTTCTCCACCTTGTTCAGGCAGGGTTTTTTTTTTTTTTTTTTGTTGTTGTTGTTGTTGTTTTCTTGTTTCTGAGGCTCAGCACACTCCAGACTGGTTGGCCCAGGAGCTTCCAGGTGATTATGTCTCCACCTCTCATCTCCATGTAGGAAGGCTGGGATTATGGGTTTGATTCCCCACATCTAGCTTTTCACTGTCAGTCTTGTGTGACAAGTGCTTTTACACACTGAACTTTCTTGATGGTCCCCAATGAACTGTTAAATGACTTAAGACTTTTAGATAATGATGCTGCATTTTTGTCTTATGCTTAGCAGCAATTAATTGATAATTCAGATAATACTTAAGATCAGAGCCTAGGAACTCTGACTGGGAGGAAATAACTATTTTTGTTATATCCAAAGAAATCTTACTGGCTTTTGCAAAAATGTGTGGATTGCTTTTTTCAACTGCCTGAACTAGGATAATGCCTTTTCATTTATCTATTTTATTTTATTTATTTATTTATTTATTTATTTTTTTGGTTTTTCGAGACAGGGTTTCTCTGTGTAGCTTTGCGCCTTTCCTGGATCTCGCGCTGTAGACCAGGCTGGCCTCGAACTTACAGAGATCCGCCTGGCTCTGCCTCCCGAGTGCTGGGATTAAAGGCATGCGCCACCACCGCCCGGCTCTATTTTATTTTTGTATTTTGGTTTATCCTTTTATTCATTAATATACTCAAATGTTGGCTCCCTACATTTTGAAAGACATTTTTAATTTTTTTTTTTTTTTTGAGACAGTGTCTCTATGTAGTCCTGGCTGTCTTAGAACTCACTTATATAGACCAGGCTGGCCTCGAACTTACAGAGATAGATCCATCCCCTCTGCCCCCTGAGTCCATCCCCTCTGCCCCCTGAGTGCTGGGCTTTAAGACAAGTGCTTGAAAGATGTATCTTAAAAATTAATTTTAGAAAAAAAAGCCGGGCGGTGGTGGCGCATGCCTTTAATCCCAGCACTCGGGAGGCAGAGCCAGGCGGATCTCTGTGAGTTCGAGGCCAGCCTGGGCTACCAAGTGAGTTCCAGGAAAGGCGCAAAGCTACACAGAGAAACCCTGTCTCGAAAAACAAAACAAAACAAAAAAAATTAATTTTAGAAAAATAAAAATCAGGGTTGGAATGATAGCTTAGCCATTAAAGGCCCAACCAAAACCTCGAGAGAAATGATAATTTTAATTCATATGCTGTAGGAGATTGGAGTTAAAGAAAGACCTTGATTCTTGTGGATTTTTATTCTAAAATTTTTTGTTGTTATTGTTTTTGTTTTGTTTTTCAAGACAAGGTTTCTCTGTGTAACAGTCCTAGCTGTCCTGGAACTCACTCTGTAGCCCAGGCTGGCCTCAAACTCGGAGATCTGCCTGTCTCTACCTCCTGAGTGCTGGATTAAAGGTGTGCGCCACCACCTCCTGGCTTAAAATTTTTATTGTTTGAAATAATTTTTAAATTTTTAAGTTAAATATAATCACATTATTTTCCTTCCCCCACCCCTCTGTGTCCTCTCCGGCCCACCCCTCCCTTACTCCCTCTCAGGTCTGCAGCCTCTTTTCGTTTATTCTGCACAAGGAAAGGAAACACTTTCAATTGTGGTCTGCTTTTCTCTCCTACCATAAGGTGACCTTGCAGGCAGAGAGCCAGCTCTGGAGTTTTAATGTTTCCCTGTCCTCGGCCCCGTGCCACCTGCGTTCAGCACACACACAGCCTACACATGTACAGAGGTTTCTCTCTCTAGCTTATTTGTTTAGGAAACAGCATAAGCCGGACTCCCTCTAGTGGACAGAACCACTTTGTTAACTTCTCTGCTGGCTGATCGAGGCTAGTGAGGCCAGGCCTTTATTATTACTGCAGGTCTCAGCTGTTTGAAGAATAGTAAATTCAGAGGTGGGGATTTGGATCACCTCTCATAAGAGGTTATACATAAATTTATTTGTGTGCCTACATAAAATAAACGAATAAGGAGTTTGGAGCAGAACACTTGCTTGGCTTAATGATTTTAGCATTGTAGGAAGTACTTTAATGTGGTCCCCAGTCTTAGTTATTAGCAGCTACTTCAGTGAAACACACAGAGCAGAGTGAAAATCACAGAGAGCCCATGTACTGTTAAAATTAGGCTTTTAGGTCCAGGATGTCGCTCGTCTGATAGAGCA